CCCAGAGCTGGGGCATGGGGAGCCCAGGCAGCACATGGGGAGGCAAAGGCTGAGTCTGTTTGGGTTGCTGGGGCTGCATAGCTGGGGCCAACAGCTTCCGCTGTGCTGGGAAGTGCTTGACTTGCTGGTTTTGTTGTCAGGGAACAATCTCTATGGAGAAGAACTCAGGCAGGTTCTGCAGAAGATCAGAGATAGCCCTGAGAGAACCTCCTACATCTTGATGGATAAGCTCAAACCACAGCCAGCAATGAATTACTTGCTGAGGGCTCACAGTCCCCTACAAGTGTCCAAGTGCATCTCAGAGCTTGGTATTTTTGGTGTCTATGTCAGGTGAGAACATGCTTGCATTACAGAGTGGTTACCTGCTCCAGCTGGCACTTGGGTTGGGAACATTTTCCCCTCTGTGCTGAAGACAGTAGCATGGCAGAGGTCTCCAAGGAGGTGGAGGTCCAGGGAACAGATGTGACTGTTCAGTCTTTGCCCCTGGCAGCAGCTCTCTGAGCCCTGCGTTCAGACACCGAACCGCTGCTCTGTACCTGCTGCCAAATGAGTTGTTGAAAAACCTCAGAGCTGGAGCTGGCGGTTACTGGTCTAACAGCCATGTGGAACCAGTGTGGCTCACCCCCGATTTCTGGGAGTGTTCTGGCTGCAGCCACGTGCTTTTCTGAAGCCCTGGTGATCTTGGGAAATATCTGAAGGCTTAACGCAGTCATGTTCAACCCTAAATAGCTGCCGCTTTCGTTTAAAACCCTCATAGACCCATAGAAATGTTTCCAAGGCTTATAAATTAAAGTCCTTCTCGTACAATTTTAGAAACAAATGTACTCTGGCAGCGTTCAGAACCTGACACTCTGCTCTGTGTGCAGAGCAATCAGCCCAAAATGGCCCAGCTGAGAAAAGGCACTGTCGCTGGCAGGCACAAAACAGACGCAGCTCTGGTGTCTGCAGACCTCGGCATTAGCCCTGGGGCTTTTACGTGCCTGTTACTTGTGCTGCGCTGTGGCAGGGAACATGAATCAAATTGTCCAAGATGAAATGCCATAAGCTTTACACTCTGCAGGTGCTCAGTTGCTCTTTTCTTTGCAGACACGGCAAGGAGATGGTGATGAACGAGGCTGCCGGCCACCTCCTGCGGACGAAGGCCATCGAGCACGCAGATGGTGGGGTAGCAGCTGGGGTGGCCGTGCTGGACACCCCTTACTTGGTGTGAGGAGGCGATGCCCCATCCCTGCCTGCCTCACTCTGCTGCCTGAGGAGCTGATCTGCCACAGGGATGTTCTCCTTAGGGTGCGCTTACCAAGGGCTGATGTGTTGGGGACTGAGGAGGGACTGTGCAGACACAACTGCTCAAACATCCTGCGTGCCAGCCCCAGTTTCTCCTCTGCAATTCCTCCTGCAAGAAGAAGGGATGCTCTTCCTCTGCCTGCTCAGGGGGCCCTGCCCCACATCCATCCCAGCTGTGACCTCCCAGGGCTGGGCGTTCCCTTGAGGCCTGGCCTGCGGGCAGGGGTACGTACAGCAAAGCTGAAGGGTGAAAGTGCCACAACAGGCACTCACGCTGTTCACAGTTTATGCTCCTTGATGCTTTGTTATTTCTGGAGACAGGCAAACCCAAAGGCTAGGGAAGGGGAGGGGAAAGGTGGATATGCAAGTAACAGCCTTCCCCTGGGGGAGTTGTGGCCCTGGGCCTCAGTGCTTTCCAGGTTAAATGGGGGAGCCCAGCTCCACAGGCCCACAGCCTCTCCAGCCCTCCTTCAGGTGCTGCTGCCACCCCGATTTCCACTTTTCCCTGTGCTTGAAGATCCTCAGGGTTCCTGCACAAAGAACAACTGCCCTGGTGTAATTTGCTCAAGGGCCTCTTGAGCAAAACTCCTGTTTTCTTGGCCTGGGTATTCATCCTGAACCGTGCCTCTGTGCTACACGAAGCAGGCCCTGCCCTCCCCATGGCAGGGCTGCATCTGCTCCCCTTGCCTCCTGCAGCCTTGTCCAACAGATCCCCATGGGCTGGAATAAGAATACCTCAGCAATGGGGGCAGATCCCAGTGTGATGGTGAATTGGAGCCTTGTGTCACAGCCAGTGTGTTAATAAACCCCAAATCCCCCAGGACTTGTGCCAGCGCATCCCACTGCAAGTCAGGCGCTGAGCATCTCCAGCAGCACATACAGCCCAAGTGTGGTGTCGGGGAGCCCCATTGTGCTGGGATGTGGGATGGGCCAAGACTGGGAGCTTTGTAGCGAGGAAGCAAAAGAATTGCAGTAAGGGCTGAGCAGGCACAGCCCCAGCTGCCGAGTGCTTTACTCTGGGACCAGCACCAGTGGATGGCGAGATGTGTCTCCCTCCAGGTTCCATAAATCAGTGGGAACAGTGCAGCAGTGGAGGGACCATGAAGGAGTGTGGGCTCTCCTCCCCACGGTCTTTTGCCTCTTCCTCCTCAGCTGAGCAGTTCAAGGGGAAACACAGAAGATGCACCTTTCTGGCAGCGCCCTGGTAAAGTGCTCAGGCACCCTCAGCTCTGCCCTTTCAGTGACACCAGAGGTGCAGTATGAAAAAGCCGGTATTCCTGAAGAATGAACATGCTGATGCACAGACCCATGCATTGCTGCTGTTGCTGTGCGGCAGCGCTTCAATCATCAGTCTTGCACCTAGGAAACAGTTCAGTTCTGCAAGTGTGACTGATTCTATAATTCCTGGGTGGTTGTTTCGTTGGGGGAGTTGATTACCCCCAGCCAGAGATTAAAACATACATGCAATCTGAACGCTGTTCTTTTGCCACTTTTGTCAGAGACTGGAGGTGTTTGCCTCCTCCCTGGCCAGGCCTGGTTTCTGTCCACCTGTGCATGGGTGGCCCTTTCCTGTACCTTCACAGCAGGGACAGCTAAAGCCAACCCACCCATTTCTGCTTTGGTCGCTGTAAGGCTGCGCATCTCCTGTTGGCCTGCTGCTCCGCTCCGCAGCGCTAGCCCAGCACAACAGGCAGATGGAGAACTGCTGACGTGAGGGGGGACAGGTAAGACAAGGCTCCCAGAGAAAACGCTGTCAGCTTGGAGCTGTGACTGTGCCGGTTGCTGGAGCAGATCGGACACAAGGTTAAGATGGAGCAGGAGGAGAGCCCTGCAGCAGGGCCCCTGAGCCGTTGGAGGCAGAGGTTGGTATCCGTTGCCGTGGCTGGGTGGGAACGCAAGGCAGCTATCAACAGCCCGGAGCTTCCTTGGGTGCTTGGCTGGTCCCCTGGCATTGGTCCGGGGGGCGGGTGTTGACGACAGATGGGTGTCAGCTGTCTTGTGCTTTCCATGAGCCTTAGTGGAACAATGTTGGCTGGAGACCAGGGAGAAACTGAGGCACAGGCTCCAGCCCTGGAGCAAGAGCTTTCTGCCCCTGCCCCAGTGCAGAGCCTCAGTCAGAGCCTGTAAATCCCAGCCCATGAAAAAAGCATCGCACTGGCAATAACCTACCCCTCCCCACCCCACAAGCCTGCCCTGGTTATGGCACAGCAGGTCTGACAGCAACATCTGAGCACCTTCATCTCCCCCAGACAAGCACCTACAACCCATGCCCATGCTCTAAGCCTCTTTCCATTTTGTTTCCTTGAATTTTATTCCATTTTGCATAAAATTCGAGTTGTTTCCAGCCAAAAATTACATAGCAGACAAAGAGTAACAGAGGAGGAGAGATGATGTAGGAATCCTGGTCAAGGAGGCAGCACAATCCAGTGGGACAGAGCCGTGGGGGGCACGTGGGACACTGGCACGTGCTGAGGTTACAGGCAAATGCTGTGCCAATGAAAGCAGCAGGTAAGAAGTGAGACTTGGGACTTGGACAACAGCCCACCAGAACACCCGCAACACTTGCCCTGAGCAACCCACCTCAGCAGCAGTTGCCTCATCCTTGTCAGCTCTGCAGGTAAAGCCTGTACATTAACACTCACCGAAACAGCTGTTGCAGGGAGTTTTAAAGCTCATTTCGCCTTTGGTTTAAGTGCAAAATCAAATAGCTCACATGCAATTTTCATAGAGACGTTACAAAGGAGGTATCTCTCCCAGCTCAACCCAGGGCTGGAGTTAAATGTAATTCATTTGAAGAAGAATGGCTTTGGCAGTACCCTTGTGATGTTCAGGCTCTTGGGGTAGGTTTGATTATTTTTTTTTTTCCCTCTCCTCATCCTAATGTTACATCAGATTTAAACAAAAGCTAACTTTAAACAGCTTTCACCATTTTTTTTTTCCCTGATGAGAAAACATCATCTAGGACTAACGCAGCCCTGCCTGCCTTGGTTTCTTTCTGTAGCAATGGTCATGGTGCGCTGGAACCCAGTGCCCAGGGTGCCTGCAATGGGAAAAGTGCCTCTGCCTGTGTTTCTCCTCCATCCTTTGGTATCAACAGCACCCACTCCTACCCCAGGACCAAAAGGCGCAGCCTTTGAGGTCAGCCATGAGCTGCTGGCAGCGGTTCTCTATGGAGCATTTCAGACCAGGACTTTTCCTCCTAGACCATACGTGCCTCCCTATCGTGTCCACGGCCAGTGAAGGAACTTGGATTAGGAAAAACACACCAGCTGGCCCCATTCCATTAGGAAGCAGCACATCTTGGTATCAAATTGCTCAATGTTTAAAGCACAGAGCTCCCTTGAGCCTTGCCCCACTCCCTTTCGGGCTAGAGGACCTCTGCTAGCAACAGGCTTGGACAGTGGATGTAAGACTAAAACTCAGCTATATAATTATGATGTGAGAGTGTTTTTAAGTCCTCCTGCAGCTTGCAGCACTCCAAGTAGAAAAGGAAGCTTAGCTGGTGTGGGCAGTGGCAGATGCACCTCCCTTGCTTGCCTGCATTGAGCAACTCCAGCACCACTTCCGCTCCAACCCTCAAAGTTCCTTCCACTGGGCGCAAGGTGCCAGGGCTCCTCAAATAACATAAAGTTAATTAACATCCCCCCCCAAAAAAAACCCAACCAACTAAAAATCGAGAACGAGGTGCCAAAAAGGGAGGAGGACAAGTCCCTCTGTGCACAAGGCTGAACCTCAGACGTACGATACCCATCTGAAACACGATGCACACACTCCTCCAAGGCACGGACACGCTAGGGAGACGCAGCCTCTCCAGAGCCAGCCTTTCCCTCGTTCATAATGTCCATACATTCAATTCAACAGGTGAAGGTTTCCTTCCCAGAGTGGACAGCGGTTATTCAAGGGACCTGCTCATCAGGACATTGCTCCTGCTACAGTTCTGGTCAGCAGGGACACGTCATGCTGCTACTGTTTAGTATCACATCTGCTGTTGAAAAGATGTTTTATGATGCCCGGGTTTGCCAAGGTAGAGATGTCCCCCACATCTTGGTCATTTTTCGCAATCTTCCTTAATATCCGTCTGGTAATCTTTCCTGTAATGACAACCATGAAAGGAAAGCAGGAGTCAGGATCTCTTCAGCATCCTTAGCAGGAGTAGGGAGTGCCCAGACCTGCAGCATCCTGCTTGCCCTGAGGTTGCTCCCCCCTGAATTCTGAGTGGCCCTGGACAAGCAATTTAGGGCTGATTTCCTTCCACCAGCAGGAACTACTCAGTCCTCCCCAGCACTGTCACTGGGTGCCTTACCTGAGCGGGTTTTGGGCAGGCTAGGGGCATACTGGATGTAATCAGGCGTTGCTATCGGTCCAATTTTTTCTCGTACTGCAAAAAAAAAAAAAAAAGGTTTTCATTGTAGGTACTAGGAGATACCACACACATCCTCTTCAGGCAGGATGACCAGGTTAAGACACGCAGAGCCCAGCTCCTGGGGAACCCGGTGGGGCAGTGCTTAGGGCTGCTGCAGCCAAGCCTCGGTGCTGTGGGAGAGGGCAGCAAGATCTGCAATGCCAACAAGGCTATAAGCACATCTTCCCAAAGGCAAAAGCGTTCATTTTTTCATTCTCTCCATCTTCAAGAAACCTCTATAATGGCTACACCAATCACTGTTACCATTTTGATAGAGCAAGGACCGATTCATTGCTAGGTTCCTACAGAGAAGAAACTGCCATGGGTCCATTTCACGTATTAAACGCCACAGTCTGTTGTGGCAATGAGAAAGCTCCCTTGAGACCAGAGCACAAACACCCAGAGCACTACCGTGAAGCAACCGAACAATCCCCACGGCAAGTCAAAATCTGCCAGGGAGACCCATGGGAGCCATACCCACACAGGACAGCACTGCTGCAAACAAAAACCTGCCGGGTACCCCAGTCCTTCACGCGCCTGCCAGCTCCCAAGAGGTAGAGATGGCATCACATGAGCAGCCAAAGGCCAGGAGAACTAATTTTAGTTTTCGCCAGCCGTGCTCTCTAATCAGAGGGGGCACCTTGTCGCAGTTGTCCACGCTGCATTCCCCAGACTACACGCACCCTCGTTCAAGCACCCAAGCCCTTAACCCCTCCATCACCTGCCCAGCACTGTCCTCCCTCTCCCTGCCACGTAACCTCCCAAATATTTGGCTGTTGCTACCTTGTTTTTTCAGCTCATCCGTCAGGTTCTTGGTGAACTCGTGGCCATCTCTCAGGGTCACGAAGCAGTAGAGGCACTCGCCTTTCAGGGGGTGTGGGTGGCTGACCACCGCAGCCTCCGAGACGGCAGCGTGCTCAAGCAAGGCCGACTCCACCTCTGCGGTGCTCAGCAAGTGGCCTGGAAGTAAAGAGAGGCAGTGCTTTACAGACGGGCTGGGGTGCTGCAGCTGGGAGGAAGAGGTTTGCAGGTGTAAAAGGCCCTAAACTATAGGTTTGAGAGCACTGATTTCATTTGCTTGAGAAAAGACAACAGTTGGAGAGAGAAACTTATTTCAGCATTGCAGGGCTGGGCTGCCAGGTATCACTCACCTGCAGAGCGAGGACACCTCCCCTGGCTGTTCTCCCTCCCACCTTTAGGCTTCTTTAACAGATCATGAACAGCCACCGGATTAAACAAAGCATAAGCTGAGGAGGAGCTGGATTTGGTAAGAGAAGACCTGCCCACATGGTCAGCTGGAAGGCGCAGAGGAGGAAGAGGTTGGATCTGCAGAGCGCAGGAACCAGCCCTGCCATGCACAGGGGCACACCTCCTGTGCTCTGACATTCCACCCTGGGACTGCTGTCACAGAAAACCACAGAAAGGTGGTCAACTCCCAGAATGATCACCCGGTGGAGGATCAAGCACTGCTAGTCAGATGAAAGGATCTAGTTGGATCCAGGGACAAGTACAGCAGCATCTCACAGCCAGCAGTAAGTACCCGTAGGCTACAGCCTCCAGGAAAGGAGGGCGGGAGCTATTAAATGCAGTATATGGAAAATGATGGGCTGAGAAGCAGCTGAATCTCAAAGCCTCAGTCAAAAGAGGTGGGAGAATCTCCACTTCTGTAGACAAAGCTCTGAGCAGCCTGATCCAGCTTCGAGGTTAGCCCTACATGGAGCAGCAGGTTGGACTAGGGACCACATGGTCCTGGCCAGCTTCTGTGATTCCCTGTAGCCCTAAATCCTTCAGCACAGAGGCTGGTTAAGGACCTCCTCTAAGAGGTTACAGAAGGTTCCCTCCCCCCACTGAAGACAAAACTTGTTCTTACCAGAAACATTCAACATGTCATCAATTCGCCCTGTGATCCAGTAATAACCATCTTTATCTCTCCTGCAACCTGAAAATAGCCAGAAATGACAGCGTGAGGAAGCAGTGCCAGCCCTCGGAGCAACTGATAAAGGATTCTGAGGCCAGGACATGGCAAGATTTAAATTGCTGTTCCTAGGCCTCTGCAGCCACGCGCTCCCCGGACAACCTTACCGTCGCCTGTCACATAGTACCCAGGGAACTTCTTGAAGTATGTGGTTTCAAATTGCTGGTGGTTTCCATACAGTGTGCGCATTATTCCTGGCCAGGGCTGCTTAAATACCTGATGGTGAAAAACGAAGACCTAAGTCAGGGAGAGCAAAACCAATAAGCCAGGCTTTGCACCATGACGACAGAGATGCTGGAGAGGCAGCCACAAGTGATGACACTCAGAGAGCCCAGTGCTGATCTACTGGGAAAGTCTCACCAGGCTTGGCACAGGGGAAGGAGCTTGGCTAAAAAGTTGTTCCCGTCCTCCTGCCTTGCCCATGTGAGCAAGTGCATTTAACGATCAGTTGAACAGTTTGTTTACAGCATAAAGTTCCCAGCAAGTTATAGCAGTGAAGGGAGTTCCTGCCACCCAAGAGGATTCCTTGTGTGGAACCAGAGTAAGCAGAGACGCATGTATGCTACCAGGGAGGTCCCGGAGCTCAAGGGGAACAGACAAGGGGAGGGTGAGGAAGATCAGTCCTTCTTTACCAGGTAGCCTTCTGCTTCTCCTTCCAGCTCTTCCCCCGACTCGTTCAAGATGGCAGGGACCACACCGAAGAAGGGAAATGTCTGCCGTGGGGACCAGAGAGCAAGGAGACAGTGAGGTGAGCCCATGCATTAAAACCCCATGAACCAGAAGGAGTGGGAGGCAAAGCAAGGGCAGCTTTGGAGAGGCTGTGGCACATGGGGCCTGTGAGCGTAGCTACATGGGGCTAGGCCTGGGATTTTTGGGTGGTGGCCACCTCCCCGCATGTATCACCATCCCATGACCACCCTGACAGGCTGGTAATCACCAAGCCATGGTACAGAAAGTGTCAGCTGCTGCTGCAGTGCCTTCCTGTGGTCTCCGGGGAGTCCTCCCTGCCCCTGGGGACAACCGAATTACTCACGGCAGAGCCTGGCTTCATGGGAGTGGCAGCAGGGAGGGGTGTCAGCATGTGGCCACCCTGCGAAGAGAGGGAAAATTGAGTGAGTTTGGTCCATGCCAGCCCATCCCACAGCTGTTTGCATTGGCTCTGGTCACATCACGTCCCAGTCAGACGCAGGCTGCTCAGGGCAGTTGTGGAGATGGGGTCTTGGGAAGGATACGGCAGGGGATAGGGAGCCTGTGTTTGGGCGCAAAGCTTTGGAGTTGCTGGGGGAGAGAAAGACAGGGAGGAGAGCAGGGTCCAGAGCAGACCTTGGCAGGGACCCTTTGGAGGAGGTCTCCCCTTGGAGCCTGTTTGAGGTCCAGGAAAGAAAGAGGAGAAGGGGAACCAACACTTGCAGGCCACACCGGAGTCTCCCTGGGCAAGCAAAACAACTAGTCCACATAGAACCAAAGAAACACCACGGCAAATCCACAAAGACACCCTGCGGGGAGCACAACGGAAAGAGAGGTCCCAGGGACACCCAGGCGAGGACTCACTGTCTCCGTCTGCCAGAACGTGTCCACAATGGGACACCTCTCTTCTCCCACCACGCGGTAGTACCACAGCCAGGCTTCAGGGTTGATGGGCTCCCCGACGCTCCCCAGCACCTTCAGAGACTTCCTGCTGTGCCTGCAGAGAGGAGGGGGCTGGCAGGGGCTCAGCGGGCCACGGAGAGCAGCACCTGGGAGTCTGCTGCACAGCAGAGCTTGCAGGAAACCCCTGGGCTACCCAAAGTGTACTTGAGGCTTCCAGGCACAGTTCAGACCCTTCTCAGCCCTCCTCCATGAGGGAAGAAAGGAGACCTCTGTGATTTTGATGTCTCCCACTCCAAGCTCCCCTACTTGGCTCTGCTCCTTCCCTTCCTTGGGCCAAGGAGCAGCACGTGGAGGGGCTCTCTGCCTGGCACACCTCTGTGAGCTTTGGGTCAGGAGCCAGGAGAACCTGCCATCTCTGAGCTTAGCTGCAGCTTAACGGTGAAAGAGGAGGAACTGCTCAGAAGTGCCATAATGAAGTTAGTGCTGCGAGTGCAGAAACATGGCCTGTGTATTGCTGTGTAGAAGGCAGACAATCTTGGTCTGTTCAGAAAATATGCTGGGGAAGCTGATGCTCAGAGAGGAAGCTGGGGCACCTGGTCCCCTGTCCAGAGCCTTTGGCTGTGCCAGAGCCAGAGGCCACTGGGGACTGGCACTTACTTTCTGACGGGCTCTTCCCCGTGCTTCATCAGCAGCCGGATAGCTGTGGGTGCCGTGTAGAACTTGGTCACCTTGTACTTGTCGACAATGCTCCACATTCGCCCGATGTCTGGGTAGGTGGGGACACCTTCAAACTGAGCAGGAGACAGGGCAATGACACAGCCGTTCCTCACTGCTACCAACCTGCAGCACGCTCCCAAGCTGGAGGAGCCGGGAGCAACACGGAACAGCAGTTGGATCCAAGCATATCCTTATAGGAGTGCCAGGGGCACCACACAGTGAAACCAGGGCAGACAAGGGATCGCTCTTACTGCTTCCTTGGGATGGATTTGGTGTCACCCTACCCCAGGTGTCCTAGCAAATGTCCCCCAAAACACCCTAGCAGCACAGGCGCACTTGGGTGGCTACCACAGTGACATGGTCCCACCAGCCCAAATGACCCTGCCCACATGGTAAAGGGTGAGAGGTCCAAACACAGTGACAGAACCACAAACAAAACTACCAAGAACCCCAGAAAGGACTCTCCCAACATGACAGTGATTTTCCTGCTTGCATTTCCCCAGGGCGTCTTGGGCACAGGCCTCTGGGTCCCTGTATACAAGTTACAGCCGTACACTGCCAAGGGAGATACAGGCACAGGAGTTAAACGCAGGTTGTCAAATCAGCATCAGCAGTGAAAACATCACACTCTGCTACCGACCCAGGTTTCACATTACTCCACAGCAGAGCTGGCTGCCCTGGTACACAAGGCTTGTACCTCTAAGGGAAAGAAACAGGGCAGCATTTGAAAAATTAACCACCCAAAAGGCACACACAAACTAGCCCCTGTGTCTGCTCCTGAGAGTAACCCATGCCCTCCTTGGGGACCACTGCCCTTCCTCACAGAGCCCAGGGCACTGCACACAAGTGAGAAGCACGCTCATCACGGAGCAATGCAGGGATGCAGCTCAGCACCACAATCTCCACTTTCTTGGAGTAAAAGCACCCAGCTGCCATCCAGTACTTACTAACACACTAGTTGCCCCGTTTGCCAAGGGTCCGTAAGTGAGGTAGGAATGGCCCGTTATCCATCCAATGTCGGCTGTGCACCAGTAGACATCCTCAGGTTGGTAATCAAACACGTATTTAAATGAGGTGGCAGCAAAAAGCATGTATCCACCCACCGTATGCAGCACACCCTGCGAGGAGAAGGCACGTAACTGTCACGGCAAGCTCTCACCAGGGCTCTCACCCACCCAGGCCAAGCTCAGCATCACCGCTCCACTGAGCTCAAACAGCAGCTGAGCAGGAACGACCAGCACAGCTCCTTTGCCAAGAACTCTGTGGCTCCTCTTCTTACTGGGGCCTCTCAACGTGACCCCCACCAGTTCCCACAGCTGAGGTGTT